CTCTTTTTAGACAGAATATAAGGGTTAGAGGTTTGTTGCCTGTTGCTGGAATGCTGACAGACACAAAGGTGTCTCCAGTTGGTGCATGGCATGAAGAAGATGTGTAGGCATCTTTTAGACATTTGCCCTATTCTAGATTACATTTTTCTTATACTACTTCCCTGTTCACAGGAAAAAAATAAAAAGCCATCACCATGGGGGACGACAACAAAGATGAGGAGCGTGTGTATGGTGGCTGTGAAGGCCCTGATGCCATGTATGTCAAACTAATCTCATCAGATGGGCATGAGTTCATTGTGAAGCGAGATCATGCTCTCACCTCAGGCACCATCAAGGCTATGCTTTCGGGGCCAGGCCAGTTTGCTGAGAACGAGACGAATGAAGTCAACTTCCGAGAGATTCCGTAAGTGTGCCCCCTGGCTGGTTTGATGGGTTTTTCTTTTTAGATTGTATTAGTTTCAATGAAAGTGTTTTTAAACATTTCTCGCTCTCTGTCTTCTCTCCAACACTTCTCTTCCTCATTCTCTGTCTTTCCTCCCTCTTGTCTTTCTCTTTGTCTTCATCTTTCTCCCTTGCCCACCCAGCCAATCTAGTCTCTTACCACCCCCTCCCTCTCCCTATATTTCCCACAACCTCTCTGTCCCTATATAGAAATATGACAGACCAGGTTATGGCAAGAACATATAATATTTGGCCACAGGGCAAATAGAAACCAACAATTGAAAAAAATAAATCTACTTTGACTGTATTTGGCTCTTGGTATGTAGTCATACTTAGTTATAACTGATATCACAATTAAAGGCTAATATAGCTGACAAGAGAGAAATTAAAGTAGTTATCACAAAGAAAATACTGTCATGTTAAGGTTTAACAAGTATGTAATTTCAAGAAGTAATAGTCATCATCATACAGAAATGACAACAGGAAAATGACAATGACAGTAATTAGTAATGAAAGTAATGACTATTAAAATAATTGGCAATAATGTTAATATTATTAAGTGAAGATTTTGACAGTTATAGTTAGGAATATTAATAACTAGCAATGATAGACTACTAAACTCTGAAATAAGTAGCAATATAATTGATTTTCCATCTTGTTCCAACAGGTCACATGTGCTGCAGAAGGTGTGCATGTACTTCACATACAAGGTCCGCTACACAAATAGTTCCACAGAGATACCTGAATTCCCCATTGCTCCTGAGATTGCACTAGAACTTCTCATGGCAGCTAACTTCCTTGACTGCTAATCAGATATAGCTTCTTATAAAGGAAGTTTGACGTTGAACAGGAAATGGCAAGAGTCATCTGTAAATGCAGTTTTGATTCAGCATGTCCTATATTTGCTGCAAGGAAACTCTGATATGAATTTAAATTTGGAAAATTATCAGGTTTTCTTGAATTTATATGAACACCACTTCACTGTTTAATAAAGTCATAATGGAAATTCAAATTTTCAACAGGCAGAAAAGGACTCTGCGAGACTTTCATAAATAATGGTGTTACTTAATCACCAGTTAATTTAATCACATGGGATATGAATATTTAATTTTGGGGAAAAATGAGTGTGTATGCAAGAATTGATGCTAATGATATGACCACTTGATATATATGCCTAAATAGATGTAAAGTTTTCAGCCATCTTTGTCTTTTTTCCAAGCCAGAGTATGAGTGACCTCATAATTATTTAGATATAAAAACCAAGATGTATGATGAAGATCATCAGTAATTATCCTGTTGTAAATTGATATATTTAACAGAGCCTAACAGTAAACCAAATCTGTTATTATTGTTGATGTGTATTATGTAATTCAGAATATTCTTTGCAACTTCATAATGGGAACTTACTAAAACAATATCAAAGAATCTTGGTGTAGATTTTGTTTTTGTGCTTAATGCTAGCAACTGTTACATATATAGAAAAATATCTTTTTTTTTCTCTTTTTTTTTTTCAATCTCCAAAATCTCTGTTCATAGTGGCAAAACTGACAAAAAAGTGTCAATATTTTCATTTGCATAATTACCTCAAAATGTGAGCAGTGTATATAGCATGCATTTTCAGAAGATTTTTTTTTGCACTTTATGACAGTGCTCTGCTACACTGCACATACTGTAACGTAGAGAATCTTTTGTCTTTTTTTTAAGGGAAGCTAGTTGTAATAACTGGGTAATACCAGTATATGCCGTTTCTGTTGTATTCATCACATTTCGGTGTCAAAGCTGTATTGTAAGCACAGAAATTTTGTATTTATTTATTGCTTTGAAAGTATGTCTATATTTAAACTCCAAAGTAATAGTTATATTCTTTTTTTTCTATATTTTGACTTTGACCAAAAAAGATCTCTTTTGTTGTGCTTTCTTTTATCTCTGAAATTGCTTTTTGTAAATTAGTTGTTTGCTGGAAGGAAAAACAACACTCAAATCCTTTCATGGTTTACATTTTGATTGTGATATCCTTTTTCATGTATTGATTCGTATTCTCAATAAAATGTTGGTACTA